TCCTAAGAGCACAGTGGCCTCCATAATCCTCAAATGGAAGACGTTTGGGACGACCAGAACCCTTCCTAGAGCTGGCCGTCCGGCCAAACTGAGCTATCGGGAGAGAAGAGCCTTGGTGAGAGAGGTAAAGAAGAACCCCAAGGTCACTGTGGCTGAGCTCCAGAGATGCAGTCGGGAGATGGGAGAAAGTTGTAGTAAGTCAACCATCACTGCAGCAATCCACCAGTCGGGGCTTTATGGCAGAGCGGCCCGACGGAAGCCTCTCCTCAGTGCAAGACACATGAAAGCCCGCATGGAGTTTGCTAAAAAAACACCTGAAGGACTCCAAGATGGTGATAAATAAGATCCTCTGGTCTGATGAGACCAAGATAGAACTTTTTGGCCTTAATTCTAAGCGGTATGTGTGGAGAAAACCAGGCACTGCTCATCACCTGTCCAATACAGTCTCAACAGTGAAGCATGGTGGTGGCAGCATCATGCTGTGGGGGTGTTTTTCAGCTGCAGGGACAGGACGACTGGTTGCAATCGAGGGAAAGATGAATGCTGTCCACCAACGTTTACCATCCAACCTGACAGAACTGGAGAGGATCTGCAAGGAGGAATGGCAGAGGATACCCAAATCCAGATGTGAGAAACTTGTTGCATCTTTCCCAAAACGACTCATGGCTATATTAGATCAAAAGGGTGCTTCTACTAAATACTGAGCAAAGGGTCTGAATACTTATGACCATGTGATATTTCAGTTTTTCTTTTTTAATAAATTTGCAAAAATTTCTACATTTCTGTTTTTTTCTGTCAAGATGGGGTGCTGAGTGTACATTACTGAGAAATAAAATGAACTTTTTTGATTTTTGGAAAATGGCTGCAATGAAACAAAGAGTGAAAAATTTAAAGGGGTCTCAATACTTTCCGTACCCACTGTACATTATCATATGACCTGCAGCTGATAAAACTTTTACTGTAACATTGCAGTGGGAGTTTAGCTGAGTTTCCAGCATGTTGTGTGAAGCTGTCTTCCTGCCTGTCTATAGCTGCTGTCACTCTGCCTTTTTTCTGTGCTGATATGCTCGCTGCGCTGTATGAAAGGTGTGGTGCTGGTGTCGATCTGCCTCTGAGCCGGGAATGCTGAAGTAACAGAGCCTGAACATGTCTGGAGAAAAGCCACAGCCGGCATGTCGGTGTTTCCGCATTTACTGCGGGATCTCTGTATGTTTTGGATTATGCTCGTTCATGAGTTCAAGCACGCGTACGAGCACATGCCTGGTTGCAATCTTAAAACCGCACCGCTAGTTGCCACTGAAAACTACATATTGCCCCTTGAATATCCCACACCTGTGGATTTTTAAATTGCAGTCAGTGTCTGTGTATAGTCAATGAGTTGGTTATTTCTCACATTGATGCACTGAGCAGGCCAGATATTGAGCCATGGTGAGCAGAAAAGATCTGTCAAAAGACCGGCGTAACAAAGTAGTGGAACTTTATAAAGATGGAAAAGGATTTTTAAAAAAATCCAAAGTCTGCAAATGCTAGTCAGTACTGTTCAATCACAAAATTTGGGGATCTCTTGATACCAAGTCAAGATCAGGTAGAACGATTTCAGCCAAAACTGCCAGAAGAAATGTTCGGGTCCACAGGTAACCTCAGGAGAAATACAGGCTGCTCTGGTAAAAGACAGTGTGGTTGTTGCAAGAAGCACAATATGGCTATACTTGCCAAAAAATACTAGCAGACAATTTGCATTCTTCTGCACAAAAGCAGTGCATGGAACGCTCTCGGACTTTCCAGCAGGGCCCTCAGCAAAAGGCCAGTTGTTAAAGCAGAAACAGGTGAAGGTTCTGGAGTGGCCATCACAGTCTCCTGACCTTAATGTCATCAGACCACTCAGATAGGGTGACCAGACTTCCCGAAAAATGCGGGACAGTCCCAAATTACGAGCAGTTGTCCCGAATCCCAAATCCTGTACTGTTTGTCCCAAAAATTTGACTAAACACAAATTTTGACAAGTTATTTCCTAATAAAAATTTTTATTGTGAAAAAATTTATTTGGTGTTGTCCACAGATGGGTACTGTGTGACTGCAGGGTAGCCTTTTAAATGTAAATACGTAGGTTACATGAATTATGGCTGTTGTATTTTTTTTTTTTGCCAGATCCAAGCAAAGCGTTTTGCAAAGTCTGCAGGAAAGATTTTAGCATTTCGCACGGGGGGGAGGCAGATGTCAAACTGCATGCTAGCAGCAAGCGACACACTGCCAGCGGTGCAACTGTCCAAAACAACACACTGGTCTCATCCTTCTTTAAGCCAGAGAATGACTCCATGTATAACAAAACAGCCGCTGCTGAGTTGACCTCCGTGTTTCACTGTGTGACCCCACCAGCAGTCATACAGATCGCTTGATTGTGCTATGAAGTTGACACCACACCTGTACTCTGATTCGGTCATAGCTAAACACATCAGTTGTGGTTTTGCAAAAGCAGAAGCGCTCGTCACAAGTAAACTGGCACCCCTTGCTTCTGAATTCGCCCAAACCCTTCAGTCAGATGGTACATACTTTTCCATTGCAACCGATGCAAAGTGAAAACATTCCCCATCTCTGTAAGATTCTGGACCCCCGAGCAGGGCATCCAAAGCAGAGTCCTAGATTTCTTTGAACAGGCAGCCGAGAGTGCAGACGCAGTCAAAGACACCCTGCTGCAGAAGCTAACAGAACACAAACTAAGCATTCACAATGTCTCGGCCTTCTCGGCTGACAACGTGCCTCTGAATTATGGCAAAAGGCACTCTGTTTACCACAACAGCAAGATCCTGCCCGCTAAGTGCCCTGCCCACTTAGTCCACAATGCAGTAAAACGTGGCAGCAATGTACTGGAAATATATGTGGAGACTGTAGTGATCAAGTCATTCAATCATTTCAGCTGCTCTGCCAAGAGAGTTGCAACCCTCAAGGAAATGTTTGAATTTGTTGATGGAGTACCTTTTACCTTGTTGCGCCACATCCCCCCACGTTGGCTGAGTCTGCTTCCAGCCATAAAAAAGCCTCGTCAATACCTGGGTGGCGATGGCGCAATGGATAAGACAGACCCTGGTTCAATCCACCACTGTGTCCCTGAGCAAGACACCTGGCCCCTAGTTGCTCCAGAGGCGTGCGACCTCTGACATGTATAGCAAATGTGAGTCGCTTCGGATAAAAGCGTCAGCTAAATGAAAGAATGTAATGAACGTAATGGCCAGCTGTTCGGAGCTACTTCTTGTCGCTGGGATGCGAGGAGTGTCCCCGAGTCATCTGGGAGGTGCTCGCAAGTGGTGAGCATGGTGAAGAGGGGGAAGAATGCAGCAAGCTCGAGGTCACTCTCTTTTTCTAGCAAAACAGTCTGAAGATGTTCTCTGACGCTGTGTTGAGTCTGGAGAGTGAAAGGCTCACCTCAGTTGAAGTGTATTCGCTGATGAACAGCCTTTGAACCAAACTCCAGCAGCGCAAAACAGATGCTTTCCTTGGGGCAACAGTTGACCGTGCCTTAACCTCTGTTGCTTTTAATGCAGACAGGCTCCGTAGAGATGAGATCTACGATGAAACTGGACATATGTACAAAGTCCAGTGTTTCAACCTCAAGGAAATTCAGCAAATGAACTACCGGCACCTGACCACAGTTGTATCCACACTTCAAATGGAAGATGCTCTTGACATGGATGAGCTCTACAATGAGACCTGCCTTCTGAAAGAGGTCTTGCCTCATCTGGAGCCACAGAGTCAGCCTGTAGGCGAGCTTTGGGCAAAAGCTTTGAAAATCTGCTTTCCCTCAGTATGTGAAGTTGATGTCCTTTGTCTTGAGCATCCCCGTGAGCAACGCTTACTGTGAGCAGGTGTTCTCCATCATGAAAGGGGCCTGGACTGATTTGAGAAATAGGTGCTCATTTAACCTGGTCCACTGCGAAATCAAAGTCAAAATGAACTTACAAATGAGTTGCGCAGACTTCCATAAATTCATCCAAGGAAAGATGAAAGTCCTAACAGCAGTGAAATCCTCCGCCAAATATGCCAGCTGTCCTAAGAGGTAGGCTATGTAAATTTAATTAGCCTAATTAGTCGGCTACTGTAACTACCGATAAAGCAACTTTGTGTCACAAGTTTCAGCGTGGACATTGTGTGAACAGTGTTGTTATAGCCACAAAATAACACCTGTGTGTGTCCTTTTCCCCCATTTTTGTTTTAGTGTAGATGAAGATATTGGAAGTTGCAGTCGCGAGGACAGGGAAGGGTATCTGCAGTCAGTCACAGAGAGGGAGTAATCTGCATGCATGCACGTGAAATGTCACACAGACAGATGTGATGAAATTAATAAAATGAAATGAATCGTATGCAATGGAAAATTGATCGCACACTGTTATTGTTTCATTTTTTCTAATGAAAAATTTCCAACTTTCCTGTCCTGAATTTCACCTATTCTCATCTGGTCACCCTACATTCAGAGGAAATCTCAAATGTGCGGTTCATGCAAGACGACCAAAGACTGTGCATGACCTGGATGCATTTTGCCAAGATGAATGGGCAGCTATACCACCTGCAAGAATTTGGGGCCTCAAAGACAACTATTACAAAAGACTGCCCACTGTCATTGATGCTAAAGGAAATACACAGTATTATGAACAAAGAGTATGCAGACTTTCAGTTTGTTTTTCTCTTTGTTGCCATGTTTTGATTTATGATATTGCCATTCTATTATTACCTACAGTTGAAATTGAATTCCATCAGAAATAAAATGTGTTTTGCCTGCTTACTCATGTTTTCGTTACAAAGTAAGTATGCAAAACTAAGTACTGCTCAAAAGTATATATAGTATAGTATATATAGTATACACACTATATAGTGTATATATAGTGTACAGTACAACTGTACACTATATATACACACACATACACACACATATCCAAATGTTATCTTAAAAAGACGAAAGATCTTAAATACATTCTATCCAAAGCAAGAAAAGAGATTTATTTTCTTACCTTTTGATTCCGTACACAGGGGTTTCCAGGCTGTGGCTGAATGCTAGCACCACCACACAGAACACATCCACTCTAATCATGCCTGTGGTGTTTTGCTTCTACTGACTAGGCTGCAAATGTGAAACAGAGGCATTCAGCACTATACTGTGGGAAAAGACAAGTTGGGTAAACTGCATAAGAGAGTGCTTGTCACACCTGTTTTCCTTGCTCAGCTTGGTTGAGGAGTAAGGATATGAGATGAGGTGAAGGTAGTATCCCTTCTGTACCTTACTCCTTTAGCATGTCGAACTGCAATTTAGGCTTGGGTCCTCCCACTAGGTAAGATGGCTCAAACGTCTGTCAGGAGCACCACCTGAAAAAGCATTAATGTTAATTGACTGCGTGAGATGTACCTTGAATATCTCTGGTAATATTAGGTCATTGCAGCCAAAATCAATAAATCTGAAATTAATCTAAAATAAAACAGCTAGGCAACATGTTGTTTTGTTCAGGATTATTGAGATGTCATTTTATACATTGACTAGGGATGTGATGAGATCTTGTCCCATGTGAGATTAAAACGTGACAAGATTTATGCTGAATGCGTGTGTGAATTTGTGGTGAGATTTCTGCTGATCACAAGTGTTTTCACCTAGCTTCAGTTTCCAAATGGTGGGAAGGGGATTTCCTTACTACCAGCGAAGCAATAAGTAATGCACAGCACAGTATAGAGTATAGTATGTGTTGACTCAGCAGGGATAATATTACATGAGAAAAGCTGATCTACAGGAGAAACAGATCTGAAAGCAACACAGAATGCCAGAGAGCTGCACTGACTGAGATTCTGAATTGTCACCTGTCACCTAAATTGTGTTTCCTGTTACATAAATCAAAACATTACCACCGTAAATTGCTGGAAAAAATCTCACCAAAATGCAGGAAATTAATTGTTTTTTGCTGAAAATTTTCATATAATTCAGCATTAAAGATTTCTTTGAAAAAAGTGTTTAAAACTCTTCTCGTCTTGATCTTGTGACTTATGCATCTCGTCACACCCCTAGTGGCAGACAATCTAAAAAAATCAGTGTGATGTCATCATGTGTGAGGCCACAATACCAGATGAGCTTACCACCTTTTATGCTTGCTCTGATCTCCTCAACAAAGAGTCAGTCTACTCAAACAACCATTTACGAAACGAGACTTTATCTTGGGTTTTTTATTTAAATATAAATAAAATATTAAATATTTAATATAATATTAAATTTAAATATAAATTTAAAAATCTTACAGAGTGGTGCTCAGAGAACAAGCTACTGCTCAACGTCAGCAAAACTAAGGAACTAATCATTGATTTTAGGAAGAAGGAGATAAAGACACACACTCCTGTCTACATCAGTGGAGCTGAGGTGGAGCAGGTGAACAGTTTCAGGTTCCTGGGAATCAGAATCACAGAGAACCTGACATGGTCATCTCACATCTCCACGCTAGGGATGGGCAAAGATACATCAAAATGTATTTTTAAATAAGATATCAAACACCCTCATTTTAAGCGAATCAAAATAAACAACAAAATACAGCAGCCACACTATGTATCAATATAAACTACTGTATTTTTGTATTTGAAAAATACTAAAAATACTTTTCCAGGTACCATGAAATCCTTTCACAAACCTTATATCTATCGGCCTGTTGGATCCTACCCTTCACCAGAACACTGACTCAGCTACAGTAGCTACAACACTAAAACTAAGGCTGAAATCTTAATTTTGTGCATCTCCTGCTGTAAAAGAGCAACCAATGAGTGCAATAAATTTTCTTCTGGGTTTGGCATTAACATATTAGCTGACTTGCATTTTATGGTTGTCAGCTTTTTGTTGCTTTACATTATCGTCACCAGCAGATGGTGGTGTCTTGCATTTTGTTAATGAACCTTCGAGTACTGAACCATTTTCAATACAATTGCGTCGGAAAGCAATAACGCTTCCGAACGCTTCATTTGGCCATCACTACCCCCACCCCTCAGCTGGTTTGCTCCTGCAGCTTTTAAGCAGGTGCTTGGGCCTACCACACTCTTTTGCCTCAGCCCCCTGCTGAGGAGACAACCAGGAAGAGGTGAGTACTACCATTGTTTGCATTATCTGTGAGCTAATTTGATATCTAACTGGACTACAGTAGAATCACTTAATTCTATGTTGTGAACCTTGAATATTACTGATGTGAGGTTTCTTTTTAGACAGGCAGGATGGCCAGACCCCCCTGTGCTTCCTCAACCTCCTCTGGAACTACTCACAGCAAAGAAAGTTATCAAATGTTTAACAACTTAAATAAACAATCAAAATAAGAATGTGTATGGCTCCTGCTTTATCAACAATCCCCACAAAGACACTCAGTTAACTATTTCAGGTAATGGAACCCCTGGTCTCCATTACAGGGTCACTCGCTGTCCCTCAGGTTGTGACACAGGGACACAGACTTGACGGCAATGTTTGCCGTATGTCCTTCGGGTGCAGAAGGCAGGTCCAGACTGTAAAACTGGATAAAAGTGTGAGGGGTGGCGCAGCCAGCCGCATCACACAAATCCTGGAGTGATGAAACGCCTGCAGCACCGTGGACCCTGCCAGTCTGGCCGGAACCTTAGGGACATAACCTGGACAAGGGTGCAGGATGGCCCTGACCCTCCCTGGGGCAAACTCCAGGCATCGGGGAGACACAGACAGTGCCTGGAGATCCCCCACCCTCCTCAGAGAGGTGATAGCGAGGAGAAAGGTCATCTTAAGGGTCAGGTGCTTGGCCTCAGCCGACTCGAGGGGTTCGAAGGGGGCCTCAGCCAGTGCTTCGAGAACCACTGCCAGGTCCCAGGTGGGAACCCTGGAACGAGTCACGGGTCTCATCCTCCAGGCTCCACGGAGGAAGCGCACACCCAGCGGAAGCCTCCCCAAGGGCCCATCACTCAGAGGGGCGTGGAATGCTGCAATGGCAGCCACAAATACTTTGAGCGTGGACGGGGAGAGGCCAGCGGAGAAACGGTGCTGGAGGAACTCCAGTATCACAATTACCGAGCAGGTAATTGGGTCCACCGCCCGTTCTCTGCACCAGGTGGTGAACACATTCCACTTTAGGCCGTACATCCTTCTCGTGGACGGGGCTCTGGAGCTGAGCAGCGTTTCGACTGCTCTTGTCGTCAGACCCGCCTCTAAGAACTGCGCCCCCTCAGGGGCCAGACCCATAGCTGCCACAGGGCGGGGTGCGGGTGAAAGATCTGGCCCTCCGCCTGAGACAGCAGGTCTCTCCTCAGAAGGACCTGCCAGGGCGGGCCCTCGAGGAGCGATATTAAATCCGAGAACCACACTCGTGCCGGCCAAAACGGGGCTACTAGTAGTAGGCTGACGCCGTCCTGGCGGACCCGCTCCAGTACCCCCGGGAGCAGAGCGACTAGGGGAAACGCATACAGACACAGCCTCGGCCAGGTCTGTACCATGGCATCCAGCCCTAGCGGGGCTGGGGGTGATAGGGAGAACCACAGGGGACAGTGTGCCGTCTCTCGGGACGCAAACAAGTCCACGTCTATGGGGCCGAACTCTTCGCATAATAACTCCACCACCTCAGGGTGGAGTCTCCATTCCCCGGGCCTCAACCCCTGTCTCGACAGCAGGTCTGCTCCTTGATTCTGGGTCCCAGGGATGTACATCGCTCTGAGGGACAGCAGTCTCTCCTGGGACCACAGGAGGATCCGATGTGCCAGTTTGCATAATGGGCGCGAGCGCAGACCCCCCTGGTGATTCAAATAGGCCACCACGGCCGTATTGTTTGTCCTGACTAGGACGTGGCGACTGCGGAGATGGGGCAGAAAACTCCTCAGAGCTCTGAAAACCGCCAACATTTCCAGGCAATTTATGTGCCAAGAGAAATGATGCTCCTCACAGGAGCCTCTCACGAAGCGGTCGTCAATGTCCACGCCCCATCCTGTGAGTGAGGCGTCTGTTGAAATAATTGTTCGGCGACAGATTGCTCCCAACACAGGACCTTGGGACAGGAACCAAGGCTTCCTCCATACAGACAGGGAACGAAGGCATCCGCTCGTAACCCGTATCAGACGGAGCGGATTTCCCCTCGGGGAGAATCCCTTGGATTTTAGCCACCACTGCAGGGCTCTCATGTGCAGTAGTCCGGAAGGTATTATACTGGACGCTGCTGCCAGAAGACCCAACACCCTCTGAAAGTGTTTTACAGTGATGGCGCGGCCTAACTGCACTCTGGTCACTGAGAATAAAATGGACTCGATGCGTGCGGGAGACAGGTTGGCCCGCATCGTCGTTGAGTCCCACACCACCCCTAGGAACGCAGTCCGTTGGGTGGGTGTCAGCACGCTCTTCTTCGCGTTGAGCCGCAGCCCCAAACGCTGAAGGTGGGCAAGGATGACATCTCGATGCCGAACCGCTAACTCTCGAGACTGGGCCAGGACGAGCCAGTCGTCGATGTAGTTCAGTATGCGGATGCCCTGGAGCCTCAACGGAGCCAGAGCTGCATCCATGCATTTGGTGAACGTGCGGGGAGATAGTGCTAGGCCGAACAGAAGAACCCGATACTGGTAAGCCGTGCCCCCGAAGGCGAACCTCAAGAACTTCCTGTGAGAGGGACGGATGGAGATGTGGAAATAAGCGTCTTGCAGATCTATCGTGACAAACCAATCCTCGGATTGGATGTGACTGATGATGGCTGGGATGGTAAGCATCCTGAACCTGAATCTCCTCAGAGATTGGTTCAGGGACCGCAAATCCAAAATCGGACGCAATCCTCCGTCCTTCTTGGGGATCAGGAAGTATCGGCTGTAAAAGCCGGCTTCTCTGACTGGCAGGGAAATTAATTCTATGGCCCCTTTCTTCAGCAGAGAGCGGACTTCCTGTCCCAACACCTGGCTCTGTTCTGTGTGTACTGTAGTCCCGACCATCCCGCAGAATCTGGGGGGGCGAACCCGGAACTGCAGCCCCCCTATTCGAGGTCTCAGGACCTCTTCCCCCGGGCCCGCCGAGACTGAATGACGGTCCTCAGATCCGTCTTCCCGGGGGGCTGTGGGCGAGAGCGCCGTCTTGCGTCCCAGGTTGGTTGAGGTGGATCCCGCGAAGCGACGCTCTGCTTCTGGCTGTGGCGGTAGGTGCTGGATGAAGGCTGCGTCCGCCTTTCCTGAGCCGTCGTGGTCTTGGAGTCTGACCGGCGGGGGAGATATCGCTCAAATGCCTCTCCCTGAGTTTTGGCGTGCTGGAACCTGTTGACGACAGCATCCACTGCTTCGCCAAACAGGCCAGAAGGCGAGAGGTGGCGCATCCAGGAGAAAAGCCCTCTCCTTCCCCTGGATGCCTGATAGGTTGAGCCACA